AAATTAATTGCATCTTGAAAGAGGCTATTTCTTGCCATTTGGCCACAAAGAAAAAATAAAATGGCTAACTTAGTGTCAGTAATCTCTTTTATACAACCCTTAAGTTAGCTGAGATTAATTGTATCATTTTTGCTGTGAAACTGCAAATCTTTTCTTTTAAATGTAATTTTGAAACTGATTTATTTTAACACTACAAGTCATTTTTATTAATTTTTCTTGTGGATTCTGTAAGCCTCCAAAGATGCCATAAAATAATTTTACTTGGGGTTTTTTTATATTTTTCGTATTTTTTTATATTGCTACCAAGACCCAATTTCAAAGTTATCTGAAATTTTTTATATGAGCCTGAGACTGGCTCTGAACTGATCATGATATTTCAGTCATGTTGCAATTATACCAGTTTTACAACTCTCAGTATGAAACTATCAACTGTAGTGTAGCAAGACTTTGTCCTCAAGTGGGAATTCCACAGAGAAGTGATGCCTAGAGTGAATCCCACATGTGCTCTCTGTTCCAGTTTACAGTGACCTGTGTACCAGCCTTTTATGATCTGACAGTATCATCGAGTAGCACATCCCTTTTGTTTACACTGGAGAACTTCAGTGTGCTTTGCTCCCTCTCCCTGCTCTTTAGGCAGGCTGTGTAAACATCCTCTTAGTGGAAAATTAGTTCATCTGGGATTCTTACTGCTCTTAGTTATGCACAGGTTTCAGTTTAATCTTTTGTGGCTGTTAAGCCAAGTTCTTTCAACAAATGCTGCTTCACTGTGAGGTTTTTACCAAGTGAAGGGCCCTGGGCTGCGTCTGTGAATTGGAATGTGTGGCAAAGTGTTAAGGTACACAGAAACTCACCTCAGCACTGTGTATTTACATATAATATAACATGGTTTCAAGGCCATGTTGTGTTTAAAGATTAAATGCCCACTCGTAGCTTCCTCTCATGGGCTTCTTATGAAAAAAAAAAAATCCGTTTCCTTAAGAACAAAAGACAATATTTTTCTACTTTCATTATATTTACTTAGTAACTTTCCAAAGGCCCATCACTGAGCAAGCAAGATCCTTTCCTGTGTCCCTGTAGCTAAACACTGACATAATCCATTAAATTGTTAGTTCTAATACTTAACACACAAGGGTGCTGTAGTGACTAGATGATATTACTTGAAGTCATGCGTTTGTTTATTCTGTCTCATCAGTAAAAAATATAACATCATATTTTTGTAAAGATAACACAAATTCATGCGTCTGCTTTCATTTTAATTTCATCTGCATAAGTAAATGGTCACTTTTGTGGGTCAGTCAGGGCCTAACAGCCTGAACTGGCTTTCCCATGTTCACACTGACATCTGTGGTTACCTGTGAATAGTTCTAGAAGAATCTACAACATTTAATTAGATTAACAAAAGGGCATTTAAATAATTAGTACTGAAGCCCATGCAAGCCAACGTTTCCTCTGCCGAGGTTTTTTTTTTTCCTTAAAGGCTAAATCATTTGTTGCATACATAAAAATAAAATAAAAAAAAGTTCTTTGGCCTAAAACACCGCTGCTTCATAAGTGATTCCTAAGGTGCATTTTGGGAATTTTTAAAATGCATGATATAAAACTCCCCAGTATCTTGTTCTCTCAGTACTGCACACCTCCTGGCTTGTCTGACTCCTGATCTCAGGGATCTTGTTGACTTTGTCATTTAACTCAAGATTTCCACACTCATAAGGTAGTGTGTGGCTTTAACTGTTTTGTCTTGTTTCAGAATATCTGTTTTTCTTTTCAATATCTTTTCTACACTGAACTGAAATTCTGCTTTAAGATCAGTTCCAGGTTTAAAAAAAAAAGAGAAAAATAATTACACTTAAACAATGCACTTGCAGTCTTTGCATGTTTTTAAGCTGGAAACTTTTAGTAAAGAAAAAAGACGACCTTCCACAAAAAAAATTAAAAATAATTGGACTAATTTATTCTGGGATAAAAAGATGAGAGACTCAAGAGTCAGTTTGGAAGCCGTGGTGGCAGGTGTTACTCCAGTAAAGTCTTCATAGATAAGGTATGAAGGCTTGCTCTTTGTTTCTGCTACTGTCTATTGCAAGAGAGGAATGGCAATTGAAAGTGGAAATATTTACTTTACAGTTATAGGCAAATAACAGGTGTTGTATTGACTGTAAGTTCATAGAGAGAGAAGACTATTTTTGTTTGTTTGACTTACTATGTTGTCTATGTTTTGTTTTGGTTTTTTTAGAAGCTTCTGTGTATGGGTTTTTTTCACTTTCTTTGCACTAGAGTATACTACATCCTCAGTCACCTCCTGAACTATTCTCAAACATAGCATCTGATGAACTCTCAGACTATTCCTTCACTTCTGCTCTGTTTAACCTAAAAAAGGAGACAACATAAAAACTCAAATAGATAAGTATGTGGTGAGAGACAAATGTATAAGGGACGACAGGATAGTAATGTGCAGAGGAGCTTTCAAGTCTTCAGCTACATACTCAAAACAAATATGAAATATCTAAAGTTTGTTGACCTGGAGAAGTTTTTGAAAGGCTCTTCAATTCATCATAAGAATCTCAGGTTTGGATTTTTATTCTACTTCTGTAGAGAAAACAAATACACATATAAAAAGTTTTCTTTTTTTTTAGTCTTGTTTATTATAATCAAGCAATAGCTTTTGGTCACCTGTTTAAATGCATCACCTGTATACAAAAGAATAAGATACTGCTTTAAATTCTGTGATTAAGGCTGAATATAGCATATGACAAGCTTGTGGGAAGACTGTAAAAGAGTAAATCTGATGAACTGTTTAAAGTTTTCCTTGTTTTGCATGACTTTGGAAAGGCCCTTCAATCTCCATGATTAAAAACATGTGGGTCTTACACCATTCTATCAAACTCAGTTTCTCAATTAAACTGTAGCTTTCTGGAGATCTGGAAAGGTTAAGAAAAAATAAGCACTAAATGAAATGATCCTAAGAAACTTAAACTAGGCAGTGTTAAAAGCTGGGGAAAAAAAAAAAAAAAGAAAAAAGAAGAGTAGACAAGTGTCAAATCATTTATATGAAGCAAAAATGTTTCTTATAAGAGATTTGCAACCACACAGATATCCTGACAGCTACGTATCACTTTCTCACTCTTTCAAAAACAATAAATAGAAAACCAGTCCTCAGAACAACCAGTAGTTGTACAGCTAAGACACTGTTATGGAGATATCAAGATTTTGACAGTAGGATTAAATTGATGTCCAGGGTACTTCACCTCTGCGTTTTAAAATAACTGGAATTTGTTGATATAACTGATATAAGAATTGAATAATGAAAAGCCACAGGGCTGCTCTGTGGACTCCAAATGGGCAGCTCTTGGGTTACAGAAGGGGAACTGTGTGGTATTTGTTGCTCCAGGTGCTTCAATGCCTTTTGTGTGTGTCTATATGAGTGTGTACCCTGACAGTGTTCTGTTCATGCTCCAAGACAAACAGACTTCTCTAATAAACTGAAAGCTAACTTCCATCCCTCCCCCAGTTACCACCCCCACCCCCCAGTTAATTACCTTTCTCCTTTAGATCAGTCACAAATTGTATTTCTCAGGTGACTAAGCAAAGCAGTCGCTGTATTTTTGAGTACTATTTGAGTACTTGGACTCGATATTTCTACTTGTAAAATGGTGTAATGACCCTTCTTTTATTTTCAAGCATGTTGAAAGGCTTGTTCTATTATGTCTCAAAGGACTATGATACTAGAGTGTTGAGTGCCTTAGAAATGGCTATGCATAAATAAACATCAGAGATAAGGCCTTGAGTGGGATCCAAGGGTCCTTGGATGCAATCCACAGAGAGAAGCCTGCACAGCCATGGTAACATTTATTTACTTCTCTTGCTCAGCATCTCTGTGAATTATAATTTTATTATGAAATATAAAACCAATAAATGTAGAGGCCTGGCCTTTGTATTCAGCAGAATGGTTTTGCTACCTGCAGCGAGATCTCTTTGCCAACCACCTGAACAAGTTCCAAGCAATTTGGAAAATCTGGCTGTTCTTTAAGGCATAAATGGTTTCATGGCAGCTGGGATGAACCCATTTCAAATTTGAAATGAATATTCTGAAATCATGCCAGTAGGGAAAAGAAGATAAAAATTACTGTACACCAGTTTATTAGACATGACCATCAGAGCCACAACCAGAGTTAAATGGAGCCTGTTCTGACATCAAAGTGTAGATAACTAACAAATAAATAAATTCCTAAAATATTTTTTCATGAATAGGACAGTAATGTATTGTCAGCCCCTCAGGTGACACCTTGGGGAACTTGTATTTAAAAAATGGCAAAAAATGCCAGACAGACTGAGGAAAAGAGGGAAGAAAGAGCAAGAAACAGCCCTGCAGGCATCAGGGACAGTGAAGAAGGAGGGGGAGGAGCTGCTCCAGGCATCCAGAAGAGATTCGCACACAGCCCGCGCTTGAGCAGGTGGGTATATCCTGAAAGAACCGCAGCCTGTGGAAAAGATTCCATGCAGAAGCAGTTTTATACTAAAGGACTCCAAGCTGCGGAAGGATTCATGCTGGAGGAGGGAAAAAGTGTGAGGAGTGGTGGAGAAGAGCTGGTATGGACTGACCACAGCCCCCTTTCCTCATCCCCCTGAGCCACTTGGGGTGGAGGGAATGAAGGTGTGAAGCTGAGCCTGGGAAAAAGGGTTTTAGTTTTCATCTTTGTTAATCACCATCCAATTCTGTTTTAATTGGCAATAAGTTACATTAATTTTCCTCAAGTCATGGGGGTTTTTGCCCATGACAATGATTGGTAAGTGGTCTCCTCTATCTTTACCTTCATCCATGAGCTTTCCCATCTTATTTTCTTTTCCTGTTGGGGAGAAGAAGTGTGAGAATGGTTATGAGGGACTTTGCCATGCAGCCAAGTTTAATCTACAGTACTATCCAGAGAGAGAAGTGGGGGGTTGATTAATTTTTTTATTTATTATATTTACCTTCTGACATTGTTTCAGACATTATGCAGTGTCTTTTCACTGGGTTCATGAGTCTGCTGTTCCAGAGAAGAAAGATAAACCTTCAATTAGGATACACAGAGAGAAGAGACACAGGTTATGGTCATTAAACCCCCCTCCACCTCCCTCAAACAATCAGACAAAAACCCCAACCTGCAAACAAAAAACCCAAACCAACAAAACAACAAACAAACAAACCCACCAAAAGCTACCTTTAGGCTTTACTTCAGATGAGTTTTGCTGTTTTGCCTTTGGTTTATCTTTTTTTTCAAGATTAAGACCATAAACTGAAGTTGTCTGGAACAGAAAATACATCTTGGTCAAAAGAATAGTGACTGAGCAAATTTTATCATTTGATAAGGTAGAGATTTTTCCATTATGGCTGAAGAAGTGGGATTCCCTATTGTGAGTCAATGAGTTATCATATTATAGAAGTAAAAAAATACAGTTAATATATTTGGATGCATTAAAAATGGATTTTTAATATAGCCCTTGAATTCTATTAAACATATTTCTTTCACCAGCATTCCACAGATAAGATAATCGCTTTTCTTTTTTCAAATCTACTGAAATCAGTTTACTTCTACATCTTTAGACTTCCTATTTCACTTAAGATATATGGTATGAATGTGGAGGGGAGGTATTTTTTCTTGGTATCAAATAATTTGCTCGTTTGTCCACTCTATTGCCTTCTGTTTTTGCAGAGACTATTTAATTATGTAGGGCCTTTGATATTCTTCTGATAGGTATTAGGGAATGTGTTGCAATATAGCAATGATGTATGTTCACAGCCCTAAAGGTACTTTTTATATGCCCTATGGTAAGTACATAATATATATATATTTTTTTAAAATCTCATTTAATATGTGCCTGTGAATTCTAACCAGTTATATAATCCTGCTCTGGACTTTCTTAACATAGGTTTGTGTGTATGTATACTTGTACATATTTAAGTGTGTGTGAGAGTATGTGTATATCTATCTCTGTTTGTCTGTATCAGATTTATTCTTTGATAATTTTTTTCTTTTTTTTTTTTCTTTTTTTTTTTTTTTTTTTGGCATTTGTTCATAGAAATTATATTCCAAAAGAGCTTCCTGTTATGTAGAAGTTTATGAGGAGACTTCAATATCCTAGTTATTCTTCTTTAGCATGAAGGGATCAACCACCTTGCTGTGTGTTTAATCTGCAGTCAGATACTCATTATTAAACACTGCATGAAACATCATTACTGCAAACCAACCACATTATTTCAGTCTGGCTAAAATTAATGAATTTTCAGTTTTGGCAAAACAAAGATCAGTAAAATTAAGCTCGAGATGAACACCATTCCTTGTCCTGCCCAGATGAAAAATGAAAATGTAATACCCTATTTCCATTTAATAGTAATGCAGAGCCGCACTATTTAAATATATATATGACCATATTCCTTCCTCCTTGGGACATCTAGTGAGAGAATTTATTGTTCATCAAAAGTAGAAAAAATATTTATAGGTGGATAAATAATTTCTCATTTTTATGCTGATTTTTCACAAAACAAAAACTTGCACAGCTGTTCTTTGGAAGATAAAAAGGATTCAAATTTCTGTAGCAGACTTGTGAGTAGAAATGTTTTCAGATGTGTAGCAAATCAAATTGCACAGGGAAAGGGCAGGGATTGTTTGCTTCTAGAAATATTTTATCCTTTATTTATTCTTAATTGATTAGCTCTTACTCATAGGTAGATTCTTTCTGCTACCGTAGAATGCATGGAATGAAAACCAAATAAATAAAGAAGTTCACCTTGTAATCACCAGAAGAGACATCCACAGTGAGAACTTTGCTAAGGTAACAATTACGAAAGGTTAGCTCGCAGGTGTTCTGGGAGTAGCTCTGTTTTCATGTCCATGATTTACTTTCATTATTTAAACCCTTACAAAACAGGCATCATCTTACACCAGCAAGCCACACAGCCTTTTTGAAGTAAAATTGAAGTAAAATGTGTAATGAAAAGACTAGAGTTTAATTATATGCTCTAGAAATAAATATTTCATAGTTAAAATAAACTGCTGTGACATTAAAAATAGTTACTGAAGGGAAATACAGCAAATGTATGCAAGCAGATATAAGAGATTAAGAAGGGAAAAAATGATTTAAAGAAGTTGTGGTGGTTTTTTCTGCACAGATTCTAAATATGCCTTTCGGAAGATTGAATTTTCTTCCCAATTGCTGCCCTATTCTAAAATGAATGTGAGGCTAAGCTGAGTTTCTCTTGAGATTCTCAAAATCACTCATCATCTAGATTTTATGGTGTCAGCGTGATGGGAACTATTTCAGGCATTTCTTCTCACTTCTTGATTTACTAGGAGACATGTCTTGAGATTCACCTGGCCTGCAAATCGGATCTGAAGAGGCAGAGGAGGACAGTGACACGACTTCGAGCAGTCAGTCATTCATTATATCGAAATCCCCTTCAAAGGATCTGTGCCTGCCTCAGGTGAAATAGATGTCAAATTTGCCTGAAGGACATGGATCAAAGAGTACTGTCAACTCATACTACACACATAAAAACAGCCTACAGCTGAATTGCCCTTTTTTTCCTACTGAAGCAAAGTTTCTCCTTGCGTGGGTGTTGCACAAAATACATATTTTAATCAGCTTAAAATGTATTTTAATTATTTGCAATGACCTCACATTTTCCTCTATGGAAAAATAAATATTATATAAGAGAACTGGCAGTGTTGAACTAATTCTTACTGTCTCAGATCTGTGGGATGATAGGAGGTTTAATCAGTCTTCATGTTTATTTTTCAGCTGGTCAAGGAATTGTTTGGCAATAACTTGTACTTTTTAACTATTGTTTTACTACCAATTCTGCCTGTTAAGACAAAAAAGCTCTGTGATTAGAACCTACCTCCATCAAAGTTGTTCATATCTACTTACAACCAGTAACTTAGTACTTTCAATTCTGCTGAGAGTTCCAGGCTCCTTGGACATGGTAGCAAAGAGCAGTTTTCCCCTCACACTTTCAGAAATTAGATTCCAGCTTTGGCTGTTAAGTGTCTCCAGAGATTCAGCCCCTTAAAAATATACCAGGATTGGTTTACTAAGGACTCGGTGCATCTAGGTATGTTGAATATTCATATTATTTACCTATCGATAAAAGCAGTCTTCTCTTCAACCTCAGCCAGTTTACCAGGCAGGAGAGGTCCATAGCATGATAACTTTATGAAAAATAGGTCTGCTAAATGTTTTGCAGACACATTTCTTCGATAACTTGAGTACTTTGCAAAATATCAGCCTCCTAGAGCATGTCCTGTTTCATCCCTGTATTTCCTTTTCTTGCCAGCAAAAGACGACTCTACTCCAAACCTTGTAATGTGGCTTTTTCAGGGAAGTTCAGTTCATAGTAAAAAAGCTCTTGGATTAGGCACATGAACCTCAGTTTCTCTTTCCCTCTGGGTGTCAAAAGAAAAAGCCCAAACACATCTAAGGTTGTACCACAAAGAGCGCAAGAGGACTGTTGGATCATCCCATGCCATGTTTCCCATTTTAAACATTTATAGAATGTCTTTCTTGGTAAGAGAATGTTAGACATTGCTCTCACCTCCTGCTGAAGCAGTCCTTTTGAATTTTGAGAGGAATTTTTTCCATTTAGATTCTTGTGGCTATTTAAATCAGCCATGCTATTAAACATGCAGGAAAAAACCCTAATGCTTCTCTTTGCCAGGTCTCAATGCCCTTTTCACTTCTGCCAAGTATGGAATGTATGAGAAAAGTAGCCAAGTTCCCTGATTCTTCCAAGAAAGTCACTTTTGACATGAAGAATTTTAAGTACAGAAATGGTTTCCCTGGTTTTTAAATTGCTATTCATGTAGGAGAAGTAGAGCACATTGCTTTCCTAAATTAGGTAAACGGATCAAAGGGGCAGGTTTGAGGACTGCCATTGCTCCTATTCTGAATGATTAAAAACCAAAGGATTATTTCCAGCTAGGATTAAAACCATCACTGTGAAAATGCCAGTTTTCCTACCATATCTCACCAAGTTAGCACATGAAATATTTTCATTCCCTAAGACTTGGAGAATTTATTTCTCTAAGAATAATGAATATAGTTGAAATAAAGAGTTTCATACATAGATTTTGAGTTGATTTTTTTTTTTTGCCTTAGTGTGGCTGATCTTTAAAGTTAATATAAGGTGTTTTAAAAAATATATTTTAATAGCAAATAAGCACTTTGTATTCATTCTTGGTGTATTGTACTTTTGGAAATTCATACAGTCTGATATTTTTAAGGCCAAGACTGAAAAGGTGGACCTTTCAGTCTTGGCTGCTCTCAACACCTCTGTCAAGGAAAGATAAGAGATGTGTCAACCACTCTCTAGCCCAGTGGTTTCCTTGAAAAAGCCTGGATGTGAAGGCTGAAAGAGAACTTTGGCAGGAGTGGGGACTAGAGTCCCATCATGGCCATCTAGATGAGATTGCAGTTTCTTTTCTGCACAAGCATGTAAGGACACGTCTGCCAAATATTTCTTCTGTAGCATTGACCATGGCTTATCCAAGGATTACATGAACAAAAAGGAAAACCTTGCATTTCCTGAATTTAATTTTGTTGAGTTTAGCCACGGTTCACTGCCTGACCTCGTGTTTACAGAATTTCATTATATGAAAACATTGCCCTTAGGAGGAAGCTTAATAGAATTTAATAGAGATTAATCCAAAGGCCCCAACCAAATTACTCTAACAAACCTTAATCTAGAGGACTTTTTTATTAATGGATGTTCTTGAACCTGAAGAATCCTTTGTAGAACATAGCAGAAAGCTGTATAGATATAAGCACTGTAGATGTATGTGCTAATGTAGGAGGGCTTACAGATTTGACATAGAATAATTAATGTCAGTTATCAGACTAAAACAATGTACAGTTTTCAAAGATGCATCTGAATACTTTAAAAACTGCAACATATTTAAATAACTATAAATATAACAGCTCATGATCTTGTGTCATAAAGCTGTAGAAGCCTAGGTATCTACACCCAATACTGCAGGAAGTAGTAATGGGAGTAGTAATCTAGGAAAATTAAATGTGTTTAAATAAATAATAGAATAAATATGAACCTCAAATAAAATGCAGTTTTGTATATACACAAGTTTTTTTTACCCTACTGCTTGGAAGATATTTTTGATTGGTAGGGTGCCATGAGAAGTAGAAAGGAGCTGAAGAAAGGAATCTGATAGTACCCTGCACTCTATCTCAACATGAGGTCTTATGTTATGTGCATTTGTATCTTACACAATACGCTATCCTTAATGAGGTATTTCAATTTCAGTCAAATGTCAAAAATTGCAAAAGAAACATATGCTAAATGTTTTATAAGTGTTTTCATTATTTAACACATCCCAGTGATACAAAGTACTTCTACATGCTGCAAAGTAGTTCTAGGTTGAGTAAATTAGCTGTGATGCCAAAATACGTGAAAAAGAGGATATAATAATAAAAAAGATTAATTGATTGATTAAAAGACAGCTTTAGTTAATTTTTAATATAGCCAAACATACTTTGACACCCCGTTTTATATTCTAAATAGGTATGAAGAAGATCTAGGATAATTTCAATGAAAGCTGTCCTATATTCCAAAGGATCTTATAGTACAAAAAGCAAAGCTGCTGTCAGTTCACAGACAGTGGGCAAATGTTTTTACAGGACAGTACATCTGGCAAAATACTGGAGGCCTGAATGGCAGAAAGCGGTGGACAACTTTGTTTCTTGCTATCCCAAAGCCAAAACAAGTGTTTTTGTCTCAATCTGCACAGTATCACAGCTATGCTTTGGGGTGCAGGAGGAGAAATTTGTGCAAGTAATCTGGTAGGGAGTGAGAGGGTTGACACTGAGATCTAACATGCTTCCTGCTGCCAGGGCAGAGTTTCTTCTGCTCTCCTTTGGATGAGAGTTTTTTTATCCCAAATTTTCCTCTGAGGTTTCTGGAAAGAGGCTTGAGAGAGGTGTCCAGCTGTTCTGTGCCCCCTAAGTCTCACCCTGCCTATACCCACAGCTGCCACTACACCCTCTTCCACAAGAACATATTGCCAGAATTCTATCTTGAAAAGGCCAAATTTCTGGAATGGCACTAAAAAAGTACGATCTCATGTTCAGATCCAAAAGTAACTGAAACTAGAGTTGTTTCTTCTCCAGATGATGCATGTTTAATGCAAATCCTGTTTCTTTACAGAGCTGATTTTTAATTCTGTCAGCACATTAGTGGGTGATATTATATTGAAGTAGGATGTAGGAAATGGGATAATTTAGTGAAAGCAAGAAAACAGTAAGTATTCTATGTGATTGCTAAAGTGGCTGGCAAAATTCATCTTATGTGGCATTTAACAAGGCTTAATGTTTTATTTAATAGACAATCTTGGATGCAAAGTTTATTAATTGTTGGGGTCTTTTAAAGTTACTTGTTCCAGTTATTAGCAATGCATTATTCACAAATTGTTCTGTTCTGCATGTGTATCCAGATGACTTTCTGAACACCTAGGATTTGGAGAATTGAAACACACTTTTCATTCAAATTCAGATGCTAAGCAAAGAACCAGTGACAAACTGCAGTAAACCTTTCTTAAAATGAAAGTTTTCCTATGATTTTATCGACTCTTTCAATGCATAAAAGATACAGAGACTCCATTGCGAAGGCGTTAACAGCTTTTATCAAATATCCTTTTCATTTTGTGTTAAAACAGATGGTCAGTTTTGACCTTTTCACAGTTCTTGTTAGGATCTATTGTTCTGCCAGCTTTTATTGATGCCCAGTTTATCAGAAGTCAAAAGAGAAAACAGAATGCTTCTAGTTCTGTGTTGTGTATAAAATTTTCAAGCTTGCAATTTAATATTTTTTTTCACAATATGCTATTTTTTAAACTGATTAGCATGTTTGGGGTTTGTTGCTTTTTTCACTTGAGCAATAGAGATAAGCTTTGTTAGTTTGTTTGTTGCTTTTCGGGTAAATATACAAAGCTAATACTATTTCCTAACTTTAATTAAACATGTAAAATATTTGCTTACATAATGCAAGTTACTGTATTGACAAGTTCCTTGCATTGTTTATATTGTCCAGTGGCACAGAAACCTCTTATTACGATATCACTTCATTGTTTAATCATCATCTCACTTGATATTATTCATGTTTAGATATGAACAGGAGGGGCATATAATTTTCAGGATCCACATATTACACTGTGCACAGACATTAAATTTTTGTAAGCTGACTCTGACACAAGTACAGTTTGAGGCTCGATACTTTATTTCTCTAAATAATCATGTACCATTTTTGTTATAAATTCCATGTTTAAGTCAATGTTTAATGGATTTGTTAATGGAAAAAGTAATGTAAAATAGTGCTTATTTTTTCCTCTTTCTGTCCAGCAATAGTGATCATAACAGTCTCTGTCCATGTCTCTTTTGGTACAGACTATTTGGAGAGATAAAAAGGTGGTTTTTGTATCGCTTGGCCTACCCTGCTATGCAATGTACTTTTTTACTTTGTGACATCGTTTCTCAGCTCAAGTCAGATGCTGAGGTTTCATTGCTACATGAAGATATTTTTTCATAAAAAGTGAGTTAAAGTATATTTCTATGTACTTTGTGGTACCTTGTGTGATGATCCTCATGGAACAATTAATCTGGATGCATGGATCAGCTTTGCAGAGACAGAGAGCGAAGGGAGAAAGAGTGTCCCAAAGTGTTAATTGTCAGCTGGGGTAAGCCAGAGCAATCTGCAAATCACCATGACACCAAATATGAGAAAGATCACGAGGCTGAAGAAAGTGGCTTTGAATACATGTGTTTATTAAATGTCCTGTATCCCTCAGTGTGAAGGCAGTAAAATAAATAATGTGAAATGCTGAAAGAAGCTGAGCATTTTTGTTAGGTCAGTGAGACACTTAACATCTGTAAGAGTAGAGTTGTTTAATACTAGGTGGAAGGATTTATTAATTCCCAAGGGTCTCATTAATCTTTACAGGACTAGGTATGTGCTAATATCATGACTAGAAAACTGTCACTGTTTAGCACCTGGCTCAAATTACCTCACTAAACATGTATTCATATTTCAGAACTCTGTGTCCAAGTTTTTCAAAGCAGAACCTGCCTTCTTTGGTGGAAGCCTAAGCTTTTTTAACTTAATGGAACAATTAGAATGGACAAAAGAATATGTTTTTCTGCTCTCAATGAGAAACTTCTGTGTTTCACTGTAGATTGTTTCAGGACTTAAAATTAATTTTTGTGTGTCCGAGTGAAGGAAATTCTTGCAATAAAATTATTAAGGTTCAAATTACTTATTTTAGAAGTGATCCCGATCAGAGTTACTTCATTAAATGGATGAAAGCTCTGCAGCAGTGTATGGAATGAGTGGCAGAAACATAGTTTAAAGCAGCAGGCAGCAGTGACCCCTTCTCCAAATCCTTTGCCCTGAAAATGTGACATCACCAGTGATCTATCTGCTGTATGCTGCCACATAACACATGTGTCAGAGCCACAGTACCTACCTGAGGGCTCTGTATTCTTGTTTTACATTTCTCTCCTCACACTGGACAAACTTACTCTTCTATTCAATCCCAGAAGCTCCAGTAAGGCATATTTTAGATTTCAACTGTAGCATATTATTTAAAATGACTACAGTTGTGAACATTTGTCTTACTTTGACATTTTTCAAGGACAGACAACTGACCTAGAAATTGATCCAGTGGAGATGGTACTGAATATCTTCTCTCACTTTTTTTTTGGTTGGATTTTTTTTTTTTTTCAATTTGTAGCACTGCTGAGGAGGATTTTTCTTCATGTCACTGTACTTGACCTAACACAGATATTACCACGTAAGACATGAGTCCTTTATGAGCCTTCTTGTCGTCTCTGCTAACACATGGAAAGAGCACTGCAATGAACTTAAAAGGGACATAACTCAGAGATACATTTTAGCAATTATACACGTTTATTTAATCAGTAAACCTTATTGTGTATCAGGCTGTGAAATTCAATGCATCGTTGTAATCATTTACAAACACAGAAAATTCTCCTATCTCTTCACTTGGCTGAGTAGTCAGAGCTGTTCTTGAATTTGAGGTTAAGGTAAAGTCAACAACTTCCATTGTATTCTTACTCAAAATGCATAAATACTGAATGGAAATAGTAAATAAATTGTATCACGTTTAAATGTACACCTCCTATTTGCAGTGAACATATTAATAAAATATCAGTTTCAATCATATTTGTATATATATGTTAAATAAAATTAATGCTTTAAATATTGTTAAAATACTGTTACATACTGAATATTGGCTCTGAGGACAATGACTTGAGTTTGCATTTTTAGTTGTCTCATATGGACATGTTTTTGAAGTCTGTCTTGATTAGAAAGAACAAGGATTTGTGATTTAATTAGAGGACCTGAAAGTTAACTTGAAATCCAAAAGTTGGCCTCAGATCTTACAATAGGAGTCTGCAAAAAAGATGCCTTTGGTTATAATCTAGTAATAGCATCTGTCTTACATTTTATTTCCTTCAGAGGGTTTTTACATGGGAGGTTACCAAAACTACTCAGTTGCTCTGAAAAATCATAATTTTTCTTCTGAAATTATACTACTTCTCTGCAACCAACGCAAAAAAAAAAAAAAAAGTTCATTAACAAAGATAACCTTTGACAGCTACGCACCTGCATGTCTTCAGGGCAGTAAAGTAATTATAGCTATCTTATCACAACTGTATGCTAAAATATTTTTCTACATATAGCTTTGGTGAAAGGGGGTTTGGTATTGCTTATATATAGCACTTCATGCCTAACTGTATAATAAACCAGCACTTTTTTCATATCAAACAGTTTTTTAATGTCAAAATCACATTTTCCTTATGTGTTAACTCCTTTGACAGAATTTGCATATTGAATAAAGAACGGATTTCAGTCGTTCCTTTCTCAGGACCTGTAATGAAAGACAGTTCAGTTCCGATAGAAACTGTTCAGTTACTTGATGTACAGCATGTGGCCCCTTACAAGTTCTCAATTTATACCATTTCCTCACCTAATAAAAGCAAGATTAATCAAGACAGAGAATTCTGTATTCATTTTGTTATCCCCAAAATTAAAATAGTTATAGCAGGAACAGTTCTTCAATTAGCTGCTGCTAAATGAAATGTACGGGGTTTATTTCAAACTGACTCCTGATACTAGCATAAATTATTCAGAATGGTTACTTACCACATCCTTGGTGGAAGTACCTCATTGACTCTTGTTCATTTGCATTTGGAACTTTTAGCTGGAATGTTGTTTGGTCGAATTGTATTTCCTGCCAGACAGATAGATCAATGGCAGCACAGAGCTGTAACTTGGTGGGTGTGTGTGTGTGTAATCTGGTTATTTATTTTAAATAAACTGTTGTCCTTTCCTTTATAGGACTGCTTTTCCTACCTCATTACTTCTTCTTAACCTACTTGGGATGCAGATTTTATGCCAAGCTACACGTTTGAGGACTAATTCTACAGTTCAGATAATGTTAATAGAGGACTGTGTTGCCCAGAGCCCTCTCTGTCTTCATACTGCCTAGATCAGGGGAAGATCCACGAAGTAGGATGTGATTAAACAAATTCATTCTAGTTTTGGCAGGTCTGCTTGACTCATGTGGTGTGTGTGACCCAGGTGCTTGCAAGATTATAGGAGCCAGGAGCTCATGCAAGGCTGTGCACACAAGCTGAACGTACTGCAGAGGCTTTGTGGCCATGGTTAACACCCTTCTCAAAATAACTGCAGCTTCACAGCTTCTGATTCACAGCTCCCTTGTTCTTGGTTGGGTAAGCATGCAGGCAAAATAGATAGATATTTCAAGAGACACTCTCAGTCACTTTGTCAGTTATTTTTAGAATTTTATGTCCCTAAAGGTATATGAATATACATCTGAAAGCCTGTTTAGTTTCTCTGGAGTGGTCCCTTACTGCCTGCAAAATGCAATGGCTCCAACTATGTCAATTCGTGTGCAATGCACACAGAAAACACTTGCTGTCCTTTAGCTTTCTTAAGGGCATGGAATCCACACTTATCTCAAGTATCTGCCTGTGCCATTCTGGTAAAGTGCTTTGTACTGCTTACTAACCTTTCTGTTTTAAGTGCTGGAAAGCAGATTGGGCTACTTTTTTAAGTATTTTTATTGAAAATATTCAAAATTTGCACAAGAATTTTGCATTTTGACAGCAAAATTTCTGTCAGAAAACACATTTTTATTAGAAGCTGTCTATTTTCTAGATATTTGAAATAACAATTCTTTGTATTGATGATTAGCCAGCAATGATGTGATAAATGAAAACTCAGTTTTACAGGTTTTGTCAGTCTTTTACCTTCATCACTAGCTTTTAAGTACACAACTGTTTCATTGCCAGCGCTTTTTTTGAGGAGAAACAATAAATAATAAGGAGAAAACTGTCTTCACAGAAGGATATTTTTCTAACACTGTTGTCTTTAACCCATTTGTCAGATCTTCAAGGGCTTCAGTTCATAATTATATGCTAAACTTTTAAAGGTTTTAGATTGCTGGTGCATTGCCTCATCTCTGTTACACATGCTTGAATTTCTGCAATTTGCTTTACTTAGCTGTGAAACTATCAGCTGTGAAATCTACCAAAATACAGATATGAAAATAGCATAAGGGAAAACTTTCTGCTTAACTGGAGGAATTTGTGGGCTATACTTAGTTCCCTACCCAACCTCATTTGCTTGCAGTGTAATAGATGAAAACACCAAAGTTGCTTTGATTTGCAAAGGGGGAAGGAGAAAACATTGATGTAAATTTCTTTTCTTTTTTTTTTCATATTGTGTGTGGGCTATTTAATTTTTTTTTCCTACCTGTTGTATGACAGTGGTTAGCTAAAAATGTAAATATCTGGAAACAAGTCAGCTTCCTAATATTTGCATTCGAAGCCATGTTAAGTTTTATGTCTTCACTGCTGAATAGAGAGTAATCTCCTCCAAGTGACACTTGGATGCAGAAAATCAAAAGACAACCGAAAGCATTTAGAGCTAATAAAAATGGATAGTTATGCAATTCTAAATAAGAAATCATACTCTGAAAATTTCTGCTTGCTGACTCTGTTTTCACATGCATGAAAAACGTTTGCTCTAGTTCATCATGCTTTTTTCACTTATAGTGAATGCATGTGATTAATGCTGTCATTTATAAATGTGAGTCTGGATTGCTTTTAAGGAATAATTACCTACCTGTGCTTTTACATTTTTCTTTCAGTGTTGCAGAATAATTTGTCATTAGGAATAATCAGACACTGTTCATTTTCTTCAAGTAAGCTGAATATTTGAAGTAAGTGGTAAATTATTTCATGCTAGGCTATATCAGAAATTCTTCTCTTCTCTCAGTTTCTGTCATTGCCTGCCAGCCCCCTGGAATATATACAAGTATCCTGACCAGAAAAACATATAGTCTGTGTGTGGAAAGCTCTTATGTGCTTATTTGCTGCAGCTAAAAAACAAACAAACAAAAAATCCAAGCAAAAAAAAAGTAAAATAAGGATCCAACTGTATTAGTTTATGAGTTTAACTACTTTAAAATGCAGCTTAAATATTAGGCTCCTGTGGCATCCTTGTTTCTAACTCCTGGGGTTTTCCTGTTTGCTTTTCAAGAATGTTTCAAGACATAAAAAAGACAAGTGATGCAACTTTATTCAAACCTCTCTGACTTAATGCTTGTGCTATGTATGTATTAGACATTTAAGTGCTGGGCTTTAACCTCTAAGCTGAACGACCCACTGCCATCACAGCTGGGGTTGAAGGTCCAGATTGAAGCTTGCCTTGGTTCAGTTTGCCTCCAAGGAAATTAAGAGGAAACTGCTGATATTTATTTTTGTGGAACTGTCAGGGGAATTTGCAGTTGAGTCCACCCTTGGGTGGGAATTAACCAGGACATGAGCAGCATCGAGGAACAATTTCTGCAGTGGTTGTTCATGACAGCCATGTTCTTATCCTGCATTATTGTCTCTACACTGACTCTGCCCAACTCACCACAAACAGTGAAATTCAGAATCAGGACAACTATGGGCCAGACAAAGGCATGCACAGTGCAAAGCCCAAATTCATATTATAGCTTAATATGTAGTATTCACATATCTTTCTCAAGCCAGACAGTGTTCCCTTACCTAGAAATCTGTACCTGGGAACAGATGAGGAAGTATACTTGCATAGGATAATTTTATTAATTGAGCTAACTTTTATGATTTTATCCTACTTCAGAATGACTAAGAAAAATCTGGTAGTTAGTCTAGAAATTAATTTTATTACTTGGGTTTAAATTATTAAAAAAAATAATTTCTTATAGTAATAACTGTGATATGTACTTTTATTTTGTGATAAAGGAAACAGAATATATAATTGAATAAAGGTCCTATCAGCACAATATGCATTGGCACAGAGTAAATATTCTAAGGAAAGAAATATTTTCTTTTAGTATCAGAGATTTATTTTCAAAGCTGTTATGGTGTGTATGCACCTGGTGAGTATGTTCCTTGTTTGCTGAATGCTGTTGTGTAATCACTGTAGACAGCTCCGTGATCCAGAAACACCTGATCAGTGACCAGAATGAGACCATTCCAAAGCATATGATTTCTTGTAAGTTTTCCTTGCCCTGAGAAATATGGTTGATTGTAACACACACTCTGTTAAATCAGCTTTTAGCTTCTGACTTGATGACAAGCTGAAGTCATGTTTGCCAACTGTAGCTTGTGATCTGAATGATCAGGTAAGCACAGACATAGGTAAGTCATTAAAGGAAGTCCAAAGATATACATAGAAAGAAAACACAGCACCCTACAACCAGGAATAATTTTTTGATGAGTGTGAGACCAGAGCTTGGGGGAGAGTGCTACAGAGAACATCTATTAAAAATTTTTGACAAAGCCTGAAATTAGATATCTAGATTTTCCACATGATGTAGGAAGAATTAAACTTCATATATGTGTTGGTCTGAAGATTGTGAGTTTGGATGTTAGAACCTAAAAAGGAAAGGTTTCAACACTAAGTGATGAAGTTATTTAATTACCTAGGTAACCACTAAAACAAACAGCATCCTGAAGTTAGATAATTTGTAATTGTTCGATATAGTCACCAGTTTAGACCCCAGGGGACCTAGTTCAAAAAAATTTAATCCTCTATAGAAGATGATTTCACAATATTATTTTGCTACAGGCAGACATGGAAACTAACCTTGTGCTCCAGATTCTTCGTGTGTTTTCTTGATAATTTCTTGAATTGTTATTAGGTCTAGTGCTGAAACTTCACCTCAGTTATGCCTGAGATATCATCACATCAGTTAAAAGCTTCTCTGAGCTGTGGAGCAGACTCCAAAAGCCACAGCCATGCTCTCCTCAAGGGCTCCTGAAAATGTCTTTATTTATCTATGAATGATAGGATGACAGAAGAGCAGGGATGAACTTAAGTGCTGATTAAAGCTCAAACGCTCCAGCTTCTGTGACTGGTGCTATGTAATACACTGTAAATGACTTTTGAAGAAAAATTAATTTCAGGGTAGCAAATCAATTCTTTCAGTTAAGTCAGGTGTCACTTCTGGCTGAATGACACGTGTTAGGGCAATACATGAATAATCCTTTTCATGATTAATTTCTAGGGCACACTGGGGTGACTAGTATTAAATTCAGTATATAATTATCAGTTGAATGCTACTGGAGTTTCTATTTCTGTGAAGAACAGAGAGGAGACAAACTCTTAGACAAAGAGCATACCTATCAATAATGTTTAATTCAATGAATTAAACATTAAGGAGGCAGGTAGTTTATCATGATAGGTGTATCTGGATATACATACATATTATATTGGTATGCCTGTGAATATCAGTTTAGTAACAGTGTGTTTCATTAAAAAAGCAATATCTTTTGAGAAAAAAAAGGATTTCTAGTGTTAATTTGACACACAAGGCACAGAGACAGGAATGGCAAGAGGGCTGGTCTGGTAGGAGTAAATGTGTGAGAAGTGGACAAAATGAAGGAATTCCGGACAGTGATGAAATTTAACAGGCTTCAGAGTCCTTCAAAGATGAAGAATAAAAGCTTAAAATAGATGCAAAATATTGGGGCTGTGTGTGTGTGTGTGGGTAATGCTAGAGGTGGTGAGGAGACACAGTTGGAAAAGATTCAGAAGGGATCCTCATAGAGAGGGTTTACTGGAGCCAGGACGGTTCATTTACCTCTGCACCATTTCTGTGCAACTGCCACGATTCTGTGTAGAAATAAAACTGATGATAATGCAAAGTATTATGGATATTACTAGACTAGGTGACACCTAGGTTTTTTCTGGGGTTTTTTGTTGTGTTAA